GTAACAGATGTTAAAGGTAAAAAAGAAAGAATATGCTTTGAGTAATGGAATGACAAAATGCCTGGAAGGCAGTGGATTAAAAAAACAGAGTGTTAAAGTATCTCTTAACATTACAGCCAAGAAACTGCTGCTTTCCTATCAGGGTTTATTAGCTACAACAGCTGATTCCCCGCAAGGAGGACAGTATAAACCAGCAGCAGAGAATGAGAGAGTTGGCAGATGTATTAGTTCAGAATTGAGAACAGTTTTGGGACTCAGTTCTGTAGGCACAGTGATGAGGTGCCCCTGCAGAAAAAGCGTAGCCCAAAAGGATGATTCTTTTCAGGTTTTTCCCAGTGGGAGCTGAGACTGTGCTCCTGTGCTTTCTTCTGACATGTAAGAAACAATATCCTGTTTTATTCCAAGAAGAAAGGAAAGGCACTTAATTCAAAGATGTAATACAGTTCGCCCTACAAGATGCTCCTCAGCCTTTCCATGTACTCCCTGAGCTCCGGTGCTGTTCTGTGGCCTCTGTTAGCCTAGTATGTGTTCGGCTGCTGTTTCATAGTACCTGCGCTTCACAGATTTGTATGGATTATTTCCAGGAATGGCTACTAGAGTCATTGTATTTGCAGATTTTATTCCCTGCAGAATTTCTACAATGCATTATTCTTTTATTTTTCTTAGAAGGTAGGATTCCTTCCCATTGTTTTTAGAACTCTAATCTGTTAGCACTTTTAAAATACGTTTTTCTATATATCTATCCCCAAGCTTTCTGGTTGTCTTCTCCGTTGTGAGGGGAATTATTTCCATTTCTTCTTTCCCCCTTGAGCAGTTCATACACAGCTGATGGGCCTGTACTTTCGGAGCAGACTGTTGTCTTCTTTCTGTGCAGCAAGAAACATGACCATGGCAAATGTGAGAGGGCTGACTTTTTTAATTGACAATGTTGAGAACTGAGCCTGTCCCATTGCTTCATGCAATTCCCTCTCCGTTTTCTGTTGAAATGCAGGACAATTGTTTGCACTTTGATGCTGACAACTGAAAATGACAAAGTACATTGGATCTGCATAGCCCGAAGAAGAAAGTGAATTTTAAAGAGAAGTAGGGATGAGAAGGGAGGATAGCTCTTGGTTCCAGTGGGAAGTACATTTTCTTTTATTGTGACAGTCTGAAACATGCAGGAGAAGCATGTTTAAATATGTTTGGTTAAAAGAAAAGTTTTGAAAATGATGAAATAGCAGCCTCCCTAAGATTTAGATAGCCATTCCAGGTAGTGTTGGGGCCAGTATGCAAACTCATTAGCTTTCATTGACAATGCTTGGTTTATGTCATCCAAGCTGGCTAAAAATTTTCCTTGATGGTTTCCTGTCAACAAATTGATGCGTTTTTGGAACCTTCACTCAACACAAGTCCTAGCAATGCTCGTTTGAGAGGACCACATGGAAAATGGGAAGAGTGCTCTAAGTGCAAAGTAAAACTACGATATGGGAAGAGGATTCCTAAGGTCCATCCTAAAGGCTGTAGCTCAGTCTGAGTATGACTCTCAATCCTGTTCTGAAAAATTTATGATCTGAACATATGCACATACTTAATATCATATGTTGTTAGTAGCCTGTGGTCTTCAGTAAGCCTTCTCACAGCTTATGTTAAGCAAAGGTGTAAGTCTTTGTAGGTATGGGGTTTCTGGCACCTAAAAGATTTACATCTTTATTGGACCTCACAGATTTAGTTTGCAGTGTCCAGCCTTTATTTTAGATGTGGTACAATATGTGAGAGAACCAAGTGGTAATTAGAAAGACGCTTTAAAAAAAAAAAAGCTTTACAGCAGCCATGTAATTTGTTTTCCTGTGAATGTATCTTTGTGAATGTTTTGAAATATTTATTTGCATGTACTACTTGAAATAGTGTTTTCATTAGAGGTGAAATCACTGTTTTCCTGGGAAAATACCACATTTTGTTTTTTTAATCAAAGGAATTGAATAGGAATATGGGATTAGTTTAGTGAAAGTAGCAAGCTTGTTGGGTAAGACAGTTGGTGCTAAAAAGAATCAATAACTAGATTCTCATTTGTACTTCAGCTATTTTAGGCTACTCAGGTAGTCATTAATTCTCACTCCTTCAGACTTCCCGGTTGCTTACTAGTAGTCAGTTAGAGCAGCCTAATTAAAAGGGTAGGGAGCTGTTACGCACAGGCTGTAAATAATTCCTCTTAGTACTTATCACCCTTAAGGCAGGGATTTCAGTTTGAAAAGTACAGCTATTTAAAGGAATAGCATTCAAACCAGGTATGCTGCTTGGAAACCTGGGCACGACAAAGAGAAATTTTTGGTCTCAAACTCAGTACGTCTTGAATCTCACTGCCTAGACAGAAACTTGACTTAGGGGAAGTCTGTGCAGGATTTTTGCTGGAAGAGTTATACTGTTAATAAGTTTGAAGAGGTTTAATTCATTATTGACACAGCTGGTCTGACAGAACCTGCTGTATAAGCTCAGTTACTTTTGCAAATTTGTGTTTTTAGAGTGTAGGCTGCTGAACTCAGGAACAAGATCTACTGTAAAAGCACAAAGAGCTGTTTTGCCAGTGTGTCAGCGTTTGCACTTAGGAATACTTTCATCCATTATTCCTTAATGCCTACTGTCTTCCTTGCATAGATATAACCTATGGTAAAGCTAAGTTTGGCAATATCAGTATGACTACAAACCCTTAAAAGAATATTGTAGTTACTGGAAAAGCAATAATCTAAGAGTCAGAGTAACTCAGAGTTTAGCTGAAATATACTATGCACGCACCACCTAAAATCGTCTGAAACAAGAGAAATAATTTAGGAGCACTTTATAAGCATTAACTCTCATAAGAGTACCCATTAGGAGTTCATGAAGTTCTTGAAAGTCCTTATGGAAAGCTACAGCAGACTCAGTAAATGTTTTTTATGTATGATGTGTTCAGTAATAGCTAGGAGAGACTGCAGTCCACATATATGTAACAGTAGGGATCAGATGCCTCGTTCAGATGCTCCTTGTTTGGGGAGCACCTTCGAAACTGAAAAGCTGAAATTGCTAAATCTTGCGTGCTAAGGCAGTTTCTCTAAGATGGCCTACTTGGGAGGATTATTTGTGCCTGAAATCAGGCCATAGTTTTCAGTCATAAATATAACTTTTTTTTTTTTTAAGCGGCACTTCTTTTCCAGTAAACGGTTCAGTTTGCACTGAACAGTTGAATAGTGCCACCACATCTCATTTCTTTGAGAAATATTCAGAATATATGAAGTTAATCTAGAGGAAGAGACTTAAAAGAAGCATTATGGTAGATTTCTATAGTCATTATAAGGAAGGCTGGGGAAGTATCTTTTAGCTTCTTAAGGCATATTGCCTGCACGTTTGTGTGATTTTTAAGGTGTGTGATTTATCAGAAGTACACCATGTCCTTAGTTTATCTGAAGCAGTCCATAATTCTTTCTATCCTTCCAAATGGCATCGATCTGAAAATTGCTGTCTGGAATATACTTCTGGGAATAGTGGTTACGTCTGAATGACTAAAAGGCAGACTTTTCAAAGCGGGAGGCAGTTCTTCTCCCATGGAGCTCAGGGAATGGTTCCACAGTACTTTAGTGGGGGGAATATAATTTTCTTCAGAAATTCCTAGCCGTTTATTCTTACTCCTGTGTTACATCTCACTGCCTCCTTGGTTGTGCTACTGCAGCTTTTTCTGAGGTTGTGCCGGAAAATGGATAATTAAAATGGTCACTGTTAAAAACAACCCTTTTCCCAAGCTGGAAGCAGGCTGTGTTTTCTTGGAAGCACTGATACTGAAATTTTAGCATGATTTCTTAAAGAAGTGAAGCTTCTGCAATCCTGTAGTGTGGATGCAGCGCCCAGAGTAATCCCCCTTCACTTAGACGTGTTACTCATGGTGTCGTTTTGTAATTGGTGTAGTTTCGCTGCCAGAGCAGGATCCTGCCTTTCTTCCCTGCCTTTGCTTGCACGTTGCTGCCATTTCTTTCTGCTACCCCTAGCGACTGTGCAGGCATGTGATGAGCTGAACTGCCTTGCTGATCTACCTGAAAACTAACCAGGGAAAAGGGAAACGTTACTTTTCAGTCAAATGCACAAGCAGCTCTGACTCATTAGGCAGCCACAGGATCACGAATGCTGACTCAAAGGAAGAGATGGCAAGGTACAGCAGAGCAGCAGCAAGGGCAATGGGATGAAATGTCTTGGTGCTTGCACCCAGCTGGACTGGCCTGAGCTCACGCTGGATTAACACTCAAAGACATATGAGCTAAGCATACTTAATTGCTCCAGGCTGCCTCTACTGTCACAACGGAAAAAGGAGAGAGGGATGCTCCTGTGGATGATTTAGGTATTAGAAATCTCCAAAGTGTGGAAGTGCCATCACTTCAGCCCACCTGTCCCCCTGCGCTGATTATAGATCGCAACTACATAGCATATATTGTTAAGGCTCAATGTGATAAATCTGAACTTCTGTCTACTCTTAATAACTTGCAAACATATTGGCCAAGTTCAGACAAATTTGAAAGACTGTTAGGGATCTTGGGAATGTTCCCTCCCTATGAATTTTATGTAAAAAGGAGGCTGGACAGAGGATGGAGACTTTAATGGTAACTCGCTGAGAGACAAGCTTTAGTATTTATAACCTTTTATTACAGAGAATTCAAATGCTGGAAGGACACCGGAGTGTGTGTATGGCTCAGTGTGACGTATGGCTCATGGAATTGCCTGTTTCCTTTCAGAATAAAAACTGGTATCCGTTGAAAAAAACAGGCTATAATAAATTTCATTCTGAAATTACGTAGGGAAATTAGATTTTTCTTAAGATTTTCCTTGTAGCCTAGGATGTTTGCATCTCCAAAGAAAATGCATGTTTATATATCTGAAGCCCTGAACTGGGATGTGCAGTGCTTAAATAAGATAGTTGTGGTACTGTATCAGTGTGAAGAATAAAATGAGAAGGAACAAAATGTAATTTTTTTTCTCTCATATTTTGCAGGTGCTGTGTTAGAGCTTCATATGTTCTTGGGCTTTTGCTATTGATGTCCAACACAAAGTAGGTATTCCAAACGGTATTTGGCAGGTCTGTCTGTCTGCAGTAGAACAGCAATCTTTCTTTGATACAAGATGGAAGAAACATACAAAGATAGGACTTCACTAGTGAAAGGGGCAAAAGATATTGCCAAAGAGGTGAAGAGACAAGCTGTCAAAAAAGTGAATAAAGCTGTTGACAAAGCTCAGGATGGCTACACCCAGAGGTCCTACAACCGATTCCAGGATGAGGAAGATGATGATGATTACTATGTCCAAGGAGGAAATTATGGTGTAGAAGCTAATGATGATGAAGGATCAAGTGAAGCAACCGAAGGACATGATGAAGATGATGAAATTTATGAAGGGGAATATCAGGGAATCCCTAACATGGGGCAGGGCAAGGATGGCATGGTGGCCTTAGGGCAGCCTATGCGTGATGAATATAAGGATCGTCATGAACTGGAAACGGAGAGGAAGGCTGATGAGGAAGAGCTAGCACAGCAGTATGAACTGATAATTCAAGAATGTGGCCATGGTCGTTTCCAGTGGGCCCTCTTCTTTGTATTGGGAATGGCCCTAATGGCTGATGGAGTCGAAGTTTTTGTGGTTGGATTTGTGTTGCCCAGTGCTGAGACAGATATGTGTATACCCAATTCTGGATCAGGATGGCTTGGTGAGTGAAACCTCTGCTCTCTCTTTGTGGTGTTACAAGTGGCACTTACGGTATGTCTAAATGATAACTTGTGAACATGAATGCTTATTTAAAACTTTTTATGTTAAATATAAATAAGCAAGCCACTAAATGCATCAAGAGCTAATATGGATTTGATGAAGATAGTGACTTTGTTTATTTTTTAGATAATTTGCAATCAAAAGTATAAATACATCAGTAAAGTGGAAGACTGCACAGTAAAATTAAAGAGCAGAGGGATATATTCTGGTCTTGGTTACAAGAGCACACATCCAGGTGACCTGTATTTAAAAAAAAGCAATGTGATTATTGGAGCTCTTCTGAATTTGCACAGGTGTAATGGAGAATAGATTATATAACTAAGCAATAACATTTCTCACCCTGAGTGGGAGCTTTCCCAGAGGAGAGGTGGAATACAATCTGAGGGAAGCAGGAAATCCAGGGAAATCTCTGTCCAGCTTTTCTTTCTTCTGACTCTTTCAGTCCCGCTCTCCCAGCGACTGCTTTCTTCTCTAGCCCCCCAGAACGTTCAGTGTGTACTTGGAGTGAGTGGGGACAGAGCCAGTGGACAGATGGCTGGAGACACAGCTGGGGTACGCTTTCTGCATCCCGCCAGCTGTGGGGAAGGGCTGTTTCTCGTTGCCTGTTCCCTCCCGCAGCACAGCGACGAGGCAGGCTGAGCTGGCGTTGGGTGCCTTGGTGAGGGTGACAGCACTGCAGGCAGGCCTGCGCTTTTCTTCCTGGGCAGGCCCAGGATAATCCAGGATAAAGCAAGGATTTCACAGGGCTGGGCTACAGGAAAAGAGAGTATAAGTGATTGCCCTTGGAAAAGGGGAGGTAGAAGTGTAGGGGTTTGGGACATGACAGAAAATGGAATATATGGATGTATATACAGGTTTCGGCCTGAAGGGGCTCAGACTATTACAGAAAAGAAGGAGGGCTTCGTGTAAAATATATAAGAACTTTCACCTTACAGCAGATGTGCTGTTTTCTTCTTTGTACCTTTATAGTGCGTGGTTCTCAGTTGCAACAATCCCATTTTAACTTTATTTTAGTTTCTCTCATGTCCTGATCTTTATCCCTTTGCTCCTGATCAGTTAAAAGTACCCTCAGATATTAAATGCATAAAAACTAGATTCAGAATTTTAAATAACACAAACTGTGACAGAAGGTCTCTTAGTAGAACATTAAGGCCACATCAGGTTGGATTCCTGACACTGATACGAGCAGTTTGACTCTGTCGGTTTTAATAAGTGGGCAATGGTCGTCCTCATTTATACCTCCAAATCTCCCTTCATGTCAGTGAGTCATGAGTGGAAGTGGGAGCAGAGTTCTCACCTGTCTGGGCTCTTTGAGACATTCCTTGCCGTTACATCAGCTTTGTTGGAAACAAACTGCCTTAGCTATTTGTATGGTGGAGCAATTAAACTTCTAATAACATAAATTAAATCATCCAACTCTTTATGGTTAAAGAGGCTGCATGCAAAAAATGTTTGGTACTCTTGGTTACACAAATTCATAAATGTCATATTTGCCATGGCTTAGACCAATGAGTTCTCATAGGGACCTTTTACAGAAAGAAGGTGCATAAGCATGTCTATTGACAGCCATTTTGGAGCTCAGTAAGTAATTCAAAGAGGAGAGGGAGAGAGAAACTAAAACACGCAAAAAAATGGTATCTCTAAATGTTACTGTGTCAGTGCAGATACTAATACTGAACAAATTTTATGAAAACTGTGGTGCAGAATTTGCTTTTAATGTGATTTTATTACCCAATATTTAGCAGCTGAGGTTTGAACATATTTAAACTCTGTTAATCAATTTTACAAGTCCTCTCTATTGCTAGAACAAAAATGATGTATCTCACCCTCCTTTTTAAGTTCCTGATAACCTCTTTTGTTTTACCCACTCACTTTCCCCAAAAGCTGAATTGTCAAAATTGATTTTGTTACCCAAGATGATAGCAATATAAGGGTAGCCACTCTCTCTGCAACCTCTTCAAGTTGCTTACACGTTCAATAGCTGACTGAGCTGCATGTGCAGCCCCTTCCACTTGCATTAAATGTTATCCTGGGAAATGGACCTTCTAGTGTTTGAGCGATTCTAAAGCATTGGTGTTCTTGACATCTCTGATTATCACGTTACGGCTGTGAAGAACGTGGCCTTAACTCTTTTTCTTTGTTACACCTGCAAGACAGAATTGAAATTTGAGGGGAAATATATATTACGTTTTCTAAAAATATTTCACTTTAACAGTTGCTGTATGCATTGTGGAGGTGCTCTGTGACTGTGAGTGGGGAGTGTTGTCCCTGCAGTAGCAAGTGGATGTGAAGATGGAGCCATATATTAAGATATGGCTCCTGTCTAGAAGAAGGTTGAGGGTTCCGCAATCACTGGACTTCTTAAGACATTTTCTTGAGATACTTTGGAATGACTCTGTCCATAGTTAATTGAAATTCATCACAGCAGCTGGTAAATTCCAAATATTATGTATATGTAGATGATACTTGCAGAGAAAATTAGGGAAACAACTCTGAAAGGCTTAGATGAGTAATGTATTCTCATGCCTAAAATATGGAAGTTGTAATGAATACCCCCATATCTTCCTTTTGTAATAATATAGCACTAGCCTCTGTATTGTGGTATTAACAAATACTTGATTCTGTGTTAAAGGATTAACACAGAAAAAAGGGGGGGAAATTGAGCTAAGCAATCTTATCTTTCTTTTCTGTATATAAAAGGCATTGCAACATGTTGTGGTTTCATCAATAATTCTACAAAACGAATGATATTACATGCCTATTGGTAATAGAAATGTATTATAGATTGCAATCCTTTAATACAGTGATGAATATAATACCTATGCCCAATATAAATATACCCTCCTTGCAGACAGAATAACCGTAATTCCGGTGATACAAAATATTCATCAGGGCAGTGAATGTTTAGTGGAAGCATTTTAATATGATCGTAACTAGGCCTTCACAGCCATGCATTTTAAGTACTTTACTGTTGTGATTTCCCATCCTAATTGCATCCTAACTGGGGTCCTTTAGACAGGCATAATTTTTTCATGATTATAATTTCATAATCTAGAGGGCTTTAATGTTATTAGAATACTGAAGTCATGAGACCAGGGCTAGCAGTTATAAAGTGGAATCAGTACGTATGTACACATGTGCAATACTTATTTTTCACGTGATTTTCTAGACTATTAAAAGAACACAGTAAGAACATGCTAATTTGTCACTAAAAAGCATCCATTGACTCGATTACTAATTGTAAAAATGGATTTCTTATCCCCCATGCCACTGTGGTTTACCAGGGGACACGAGCTACCTAAAAGCATATACCAGTATTCATATTCATATGACAGTATGCAAAATCTCCATGTTGCACGACTTGTCTCACTTGCACCAGGTCAGAGTCCCAAATTCCCTCTGTACTGACCCTTGTATGAGCTTGCGATTGCTGTTGATTGATCCAGCAGCAGCTTGTCAGTCAGTGAAGGCATACAATGAAAGTGCTGATTAGAATTCATGAGCTGGTTTCTTCATACCTTTTAGGTTAAATAATATAAATCATCTATCTTTTTCTTCTCTAAGGATTTTTTTTTTTTTTTAATAAGTTCAGAAGTGGACTTGCTTATACTCTGGCAAGATTATAGGCACACTGCTAGGAACAAGGGAAAGGCTTACTTTCCCTGCTCTAAAACCTGCCTGTACTTGCCAACTCCTGCCCATACATAGATCCACGCTGACCTCTTGGGTGCCGGCCCTAGTGAGACAGGAGTGTACGTTTCTGAGGTTGTAGTCTCTGGCCTAAGGGCATGGTTTTAATTTTGTTCTACCTGTATCTTGGTTTTACATGTAGCTCAGAACTGGACTGATTTAAGTTAATCCTCTAGGGATTTTGGAATTTCCTGGATGATGAAACTCATGTGAGACTCACCGTACCAACTAGGTTTTGTCTTTTCAAGATTTGTACAGAGGGTTTTTATTTTTATTTCTCTGTAGGCAGATGTAAGGGGCTATAATTGACAAATTACAAATTCGTAGCACCTTTCCTTTTCTGAAGACCACATGATACGATTTCACTAGGAATGGGATCTAAGAAGTGCAGCAGGTCTTCATGTTTTTAGTTGAAATCCTGCTTTTTTATGATTCCAATTTGAAGGAATTAATGCTGCAACAGATACCCTCTGATAGGTGAACTAAAAGAATTTTCTCTCGTGGCAAAGCTTCCCAAGAAAGAGATGGAAAAAATGTTTTCTTACCGGTAATAAAGAGATACCTATCTGCTGCCAGTGTCATGGCTGCTAACTAATGTTAACCAAATCACAAAGAAGTTGCAGTCCTCGGTGCCTCAAACTGAACGTTTTAGCCTCAAATTGTCATAAGAGAATTAGAAGACATGGAAAAATCTTAGAGGCTAAGATGGTAATAATCCTTTAGTGCTGGCAGTGATTTCTCTCCTGAGTCACTAACCTTCTCGAATGGACACGTTTGTTGGAAGGTGAGTGGTGGTAGAATCAGAAAAGAGGGCTGGAAGGAACTGTGGGAAATTTCTAGTCCACTTTCTCACTCCCATTGCAATGTAAACTATATCTAACACAGACCGTTTGTCTAGCCTGTTCTTAAAAACCTCCAGCCCTAAAGGAAGATGAATGAAGAAATGGGTTTTGCTTTTCCACCCTTATTTTAATCTTTGAAATAACCATTTGTGTATAAGTAGTGGTGGGGAAAAGTGAAGTAAGAATGAAGGAATGGCTCTGTCTTTTCATAGTCATTGATAGCAGATCATTACCACGGTCAAGCGAACAAACAAATCTCGATGCAGTTTAAAGGTCAAATTCACTTGAGCTAATGCTGTAATAGAATTTCTGAATTCTTTCTAAGCATTAACTTTTTAATATGTGCATCTAATCACAGCAAGAACATATATTTAAGAATATGCTGGAGTTCGTATAAAGTGTGAAGTAA